GCCGCTTAGAGGAATGCGATAGATAGTATAGCGAACGGAGAAGAGAAAGCTCCTATCGCGTCGTTCGCGATAGACTACTCGGATAGCCTGGTAAAGTTTATGACGAAAAGTTCCTGATTGCTTTCTCTGCCACATCCCGCGTTGAATGGATAACTTTTGGCAGAAGTCGACTGTAGCGAAAGATTCCTAAAGCCCAATTTTGGCGCCTCGGTGATCACCATGGATGCATTGGAACCAGATGCGCCGTAATTGTTAATCAGAGAAGCACGGAAATCCACGTCCCAATTTTTCAAACGCGTTGGAATCACGATTTTGTCTTCTGGTGTGGCCTTCAGACCGGGACTCATAGAGGAAAAGCTGGCCTGCGGAGGAATAGCCTTTGCATCCATCATGAGCAATACTTTCAGCAAAGATAGCACCCCAGAGGCAAACTCCGTGTGGCCCAGTGAACCTTTGACAGAAGATAGAGAGAGCATGTCGGATCGAGCCGAGCCACCAAACACTCGTCGGATCCCATCGTATTCGACAGGGTCACCCACTGGGGTTCCGGTTCCATGGGCTTCAACCACGGAAATAGCTTGCGGCTCCAGCTTGGACTGTTGCACTACGTCGACGAAGAGCTGCGACAAGTAATCGGCGTTGGGTACGGTGATGGCGGTACAGTTCTGATTCTGGTAAACACGCGAACTGGCTATTACGCCTAAAACTTGGTCGCCATCGGAAAGAGCAGTGGAGAGCTTCTTCAAATGCACGACACCCGCGCCCTCTCCACGATAATATCCATCGCCATTAGCGTCGAAAGGCTTGCAATGTCCTGGTTGACTGAGGAAAGCCTCACCCGCCAGGTTGTGGAACCACTCAGGGCTTGTCAAGACCTAAGTTAGGTTTTAATGTTAGCGAATGTCTGAATAGGTCAAGCTGGAGATTTGGGTACCCTTCTTAGGCAGCACAGAGTCTGTCTAAGATCCAAATGTCTTAGACATAATTTGCAGCAGTTCCGAAGATTGTAGCCCAGATATAACTTACATTGACTCCACCTGCGAGCGCAGTGGTACAATCTCCCTATAAGATGGCGCGACAAGCATTATGGATTGCCACAGTGGATGACGAGCACGCCGTATCTACTGACATGCTTGGTCCTGTCCAACCGAAATAATGGCTCACTTTTCCGGCGACAAAACTCCCCAGGTTGCCCGTGGCCGAATAAGCATTGGCGGGATAACAGCCGATATTTCGGTCATAATCGACATTTCCAATTCCAATATAACATCCGATATGCTTGTCAATGGCCTTGCTCGAAGCGAAAAAGTAGCCCGACTGCTCGACGGCCTGGTACGCGAGCTGCAGGATAATTCGATGCTGAGGATCTGTCAATTCCATCTCGCGCGGACTTTTCTTAAAGAATTTGTGGTCGAAAGTGTCATGGTTGTCCACGAAGTTACCGTACCATTTTCGGTCCTTCTCGACATTCCGCCATGCAGTCTCTATGTCGAAACGCGATGAAGGCACCTCAATATGTTGTGATTGGCCGCTGGCCAGGACTTTCCAGAACTCAGTGAGGTCGGAAGCACCGGGTACATGACACGACATCCCAATTACCGCAATATGGTCATCTGGGACTATATTGCATCTCAATACACCGGGGATTGAGGAAGTCGACAAAACGATTTGAGGAATGTGGACGAGGCGCGAGCCAAGTTTCCGAGCAATGGTTGGTGGTAAACAACGCTCTGGGCCGAAGATTATTACTTTGGCATCAGCAGTGACATGAGATGTGTAGGTAGTACTGAACATTCTCAGCCACTCTGATTTGCTAGTCAGGATCGCATGTAGGGCGATTGCGTGGAGCCTATCTGTAGGGGCGTGTTCACCCTTTGCCCTGTGAGACATCGCTAGATTCGATACCTGAGGAAATTGGAAGTGCGGATTGCTGTCGCAAAAGCGAAGCAGCTTTTCTACATCCTCTTGGTGTTGGCGCCAGTGGAAGCGTCCTGACAAGGCAATCTCGATGACATGCAGGCCATTTGATCTTAGGTTTTTGACCAAGCTGGGTGCTGATTGCTTGCTTGTCGTTATCGTTGATCTCTTTTCATCGACAGAGACGGATTCATAAGTCTGGGATAGATTGTGAGTTTTTGAAACTAATAGCAAGAGCCGAAGCTTGACTCACCTTTGGAAACTCCGATAGCAATTTCTCCACGCTAGCAATGGTCTCCGTGCCGCTCCAAGATACCGAGAATGATATTGCTGGTTCCGAATCCGGAGCTGCTTGCTCCGCGTTTACGAGAGTGCCCGCGAGCATTGCTAATCTGACTGCGTTGGCGCCATGACGCCTCAGTTATGCTAGAGTGGAGGAACAATTAACAGCAATGCCCGCCAATATGCCGGTGCATAGTCCGAGCACCTCTGTTCTCTCTAGAAGAGTTGAAGGGAGATCCTCTGTCTCCGCTAGAGCTGGCAGTCCGGCTTTGACAAAGGCCAAGTATTGCGTCAGATGAGTGATAACGACGAGTGGCGAAAGCATGATATTTGGCAGCGGAAATTGGGACCTGCCCATTTCTCCGGTCTATAGCCCCAAGGCTAATTCTTCCAAAAGCGCTTGGCCATGCAGGCATTGCAGTGTCGGAACGTCCTGGGATAGAGCAGTCCAAAAGTCGGACAAACCAGATACGGCATCAAAGAGCCCTTGATTATCAGGCTCGTGCAATTGATTGCAAAGTTTGGTGAAGGAATCTTGGTTGAAAGACAAAGCTTGTGGTCCGAAAATGAGCACCGTGGACGCTGGTTTCGGAGTGGAAGAAGTGTCCGTCATGATAGTGTTGTTGTTAGGCAAGTAACGCTGAGTTGACTTGCACGAAAGCACCGCTATTAGGGTCGTTGAGGAATTGAAGAGCAGCAAGCGATACAGGAGTAAAACATATACTATCGAGAAATTTCACGACTTGCGTAGAAGCCTGTTTCATGCATGAGTTGTTGCCGGCGGCACCTATAGCCAAAAAAGGGCGGTTATTACGGCCCGGAGAATAACAGTTTTAAACTCCATATGAAAATAACCGTCACTAACCCGAAGTTCACTCTTTTGAGGCTATCGATACTGCCTGAAGTTCTATTTTGGGCATTATTTAGGAAATAGTGGCCGCAAATTGTTTTAGCATACGTAGAACAGACCACATTTTCGGATCATTTTACGGTGAGTTTTGGGTGATTGAAAATTAGATACTGTTTTTCTCTCTCCTTTCAATATTAATCTTTTTAACAGGAATATTACAATATACCAGAAACTATGGATGAACCCGCCTTATACTGCGAATCGATTGCTGGTCTCGCAAGTTAGCTAGTTGCATCGATTTATACGTCAGTTCGGAGATCTAATGTGGTCAAGGAGTGTGCCTGCATTTACATATGGAATACGTCTATCTAATTCTAATTTTCATCATTGTATCCAAAAAATGTTTAGGGGCCCTCAGTAAATTCCCAATTATTTCGCAAGCTCACGAATCTAATAAACGACTAGAGAGACCTCAATGAGCTTAAGCGGCAAACAGTGTGCACCATCCCACACGACTAACCTCCTGCTGGCGGGATCGCAGAAATCTTCGAACAGTTATTAGTGGAGGTGTAGGCCCTTATCCCGTAGCCCATGTACGTGAAGTGTTGGTATTCGCAGAACAGGGCATTCATACTATCTCTGCTTGTCTAAATCTGGAGAATCGGTGATCTCTGCGGCATTGGGCAGGGCTGGAGTCAAGTTTGTTCCAGAAACAAGTGAGACAAGCGGCGACCGTCCTACCATCAAGATACCGAACTGAAAACCTGAGCCAGCGTGATGCCTTCCCATAACTTCCTCACGCACTTGTTAGCGGTAGAGGAGGCTGGCAGCGACCTTGGCGCCCTGACTGAAGCCTAGTAAAGCAACCCATTTTCCTGTACCGCCGCGCTCATTGTCTTGTTGCATGGCCTCCGCTAATTGGTAGTCTAGATTGGCGACGACAGTCTCGGGAGGGATCCATGGTTGTTTAGGGAGCCAGCGAAGCCAGCGTTTGAGGGGCCCTCATTGACTGTACACCGGGAGGACGTCGGATCCAGCGTCAGACGCAAAGGCTGCCTCGGCGAAGACAAAACGAAACTCGGAGTCTAGCTGGGCTATGAGTCGTCTGCACTGAGCTTTGAATATCGGTGCATTGGTACCCCCACCATGGAGGCAGAGGATGCGAGGGAGATGAAGTGTCCTGTCGTCGCCGGACATTGATATTGACATTATCAAGCTGTGCACCAAGAGGTGCATGGCATTATGTATCCATCCTACCCTACCTGTTCCAGGCAAGCATTTCGCCGTTAACCAAGGTCTATATCTCGGCGTGTTTCCACAACCCAGTCATGCTGATTCCTCGTCCACGGGGCGACGCTCTTGGATTAATTCGTGCAGGATGCTTGCTAATAGTAAGCGCTAATCCAATGAAACCCGAAAGTTAGGCTAGCTAACCCTTAGTGGCGGCCGCCACCCTGCCGCCCACAGCCGCTCCCTGTTCATCATGCCACAGCCACTAAGCATGCTCCTAGGTACCGTATTTTCTCGAGAAGAAGACTCAACGCTAACGTAGCGCGCCCCGTAATAGTAGGCGTTTTAGCCAATTAACACTAAGTGGAGCAGCGGATAAATCCAGGGCCAATCATCTCGTTGAATCTGGGACTGCGGAAGCTAATTTAGCGTTGAGTCTTGTTCTCGAGAAAATACGGTACCTAGGAGCATGCTTAGTGGCTGTGGCATGATGAACAGGGAGCGGCTGTGGGCGGCAGGGTGGCGGCCGCCACTAAGCCTAATCCGTAAATCTACGAAATAGTGAACTTGCGCGAGTATCAAAACGCAAGCCGAAAACTTATATAAAGAACAGAAAAGCCCAATTCCTGGTTGTTCAGTTAGCACTAAAACTTAGGATTCTCTTTTTTCCTGATCAATCACCACCCAGCCGTACGCGTCTATCATCCACCAGCCCATCAACATGTCGTCCTCTGCTTTCGAATCAAACGCACTCTTCCGGGTTGACGGTATTGTGGCCGTAATCACTGGAGGAGGCTCTGGTTAGTGTAACCATTTTATGCTGTCTTTCGCTGTTCATGGACCCCTCTGCTAAACACGATCTAGGTATCGGTCTCACAATGGCCCGTGCCCTCGCCTTCAACGGTGCCCGGAAAGTATACATTTTGGGTCGCCGCCTTGAGGTGCTTAAGGATGCAGCCAAGGAGCATGAGTGTATATCACCCGTTCAGTGTGATGTGACCTCCAAGAAGGATCTCCAAGCCGCTGTCGACCACATCGCCAATGATATTGGCTATGTCAACCTTGTGGTTGCCAACTCGGGTAGTATCGGTCCTGCAGTTCGCTTCAACCCAAGCCACTCTGTCTCAGAACTTCGCGAGACCCTCTTCACCAACTTCAACCCCGACGACATGAACGACACTCTGAATCTTAATGTTACCGCGGCGTTCTTCACCATGACAGCATTTGTTGAGCTTCTCGATGCAGGAAACAAGAAGGCATTGGAAGGTGGATGGGGGAAGCCCAAGGAAGGCAGCGTGGTCCCACTGATCCAGAGTCAGGTCATCTTCACGACTAGTGTGTCAGCATTCAGCAGGCATTGGTCATCATCGCCTCCATACCTTACCAGTAAGGTAGCCATTATGCAGGTGGCCAAGCACGCCAGCACTCAGTTAGCTCAGTATGGCATCCGCGTGAACGCTATTGCGCCTGGACGTAAGTCATTCTAGACTCTAATTCTTTTCTCAAAGAGCTAACACGCTTTGTTTTAGTTTACCCCTCTGACCTCGCTTCCGTCCTTATCAACAGCCGTAAGCCGGAAGAAGAGGCATATGATGACACGAGGTTCATTCCCGCCAGACGTTTTGGAAGTGATGAGGAGATGGCTGGGGCCATTTTGTTTCTTTCCAGCCGGTCCGGAAGCTACTCTAACGGCTTGATCCTCACTACAGATGGTGGTCGTTTATCTGTCATGCAAGGAACGTACTAGGCATGTTGAAAGCAGTCTCAATCGCAGGGTGTTCTTCCAAGGTGTCCATCTTATCAATACATAACAGCTTCTGTTTGGTGAAAGCACCTTACTATGTCAATCAAGTCTGTCAGATATCGTCTTATTACTGCCAATTGGGTTTTTATAGAAGGGCTGACATCAGACTTAACTGTGAAGTGCTGCTACCGGGCATTTTAGTGACTCATTTCTTTTCCTGAACAAAAGAATGCTAATATCCCTATTTCGGCATATAAGGGTCTCATACTTTCGGGCAGTTTTTAGAGGTACGCAGATCATCATGGTAGCATTTACCATCCTGGTAGGAGCAGCCAAGAGTAGGTAGTGATGTTTGTGGGCTTGGCGACATTATGCCTCAATTCAGATATTCCGCCGGATTCCCTCTTCAGACCCTTGTCACACACACACTTATCCGGCCCTTTCTCACGGGACGTTCACAAGGTAATGACCGTACCAATGAGGATTGGGGATCGACTGTTAATAAGGGTAAAGCAGGAAAATGGGATCACAACGGACATGATCACCTTGTGCCACGGTCCTTCTAAAGATCGCTAGATAAACTACCACACTCCCTTTTCGCTAGATACATTGTTCTTCAAGATGGCTCAACAAATCCTGCAAACAGAAACTTTCGTTATTGATCACATCGAGACGCCAGGCATCATTCATGCGGCGAATTTGACCGCAGATAGTGCAAAAACGACCGAGGAGCTTCTGAAGCACAACAATGAAAATTACCACATCTTCTTCACGATGGAAGATCATATGGGCGTAAGTCGCAGTTTCCAGCCTACCGAACAGTTAAAATCACTACCCTGACTGCCGAAAGGTATACATACACAACCATGTTGCCCATCATGACTTGACAATCTGGGCCTTGGGAACATCTCCAGAAACATTAAGATCGCAGCATGAACGTAATGGTCGTTACATGCGACCTGCTATGTTAATCGTTGACCCAGTGGTGCTGGACCTCCAGGACGATTACGTTTTCAAACGATGCCTCGGTAAAGAAGAACACTTTCGCAATTTTGAGAGATTCTTTTTGAATGAAATTTACTGTGACGTTCGGGTCCAGAATAGCTACCGGGTAGATAGAATAGAAGTCGGTTTAACGTAAACCACATGCGAGTGGCCCACCTAAGCGAGTAGCCCACCTCTATCACCTATCGCGTACGAAAAGGATAATCAAGAATAATATAATAAATTAAATTATAGATATAATAAATAGATTAATAGCGTAAGTCTTATATATCTTCTAGATAACTTCGCACGTTATGACCTGCTTTAGCGTATCTACTATAGCGTGCAGGCTTCGGACTACCTAGTAGTTAAGGGCGCCTTTTCGTGCGCTTCGCTTCCTGAATCTATTTATTAACCTTCTTTTAATTAATAAAATCTTTCCTATCTTATATAGTTAGTGTGCCTCTATGCTAGAGATAGCTTCTTTTAACCCCTCGGCGCTTGCTTAATACCTTATTTACTATACGTAGTAACGTGTTCTCTACTTATAAGAGGACTACTAAATAGTTTACGGATAACGTGGTCCACCCTTAAGCGACGCATACCCCTAACCGACGCACTTTTCTACGCGTCGTATATTTCTATCTTATACACAATATTCCTCTATAACTAACAATAGTAACCCTCTATAAAGAAAGCTAGATCATCTTAGTAATTAAAGCTATTCGGTAAGACAAAAGACTTAGCCGCCGGAAAGCCGTAGTAATCTATAGAGTACCCGAAGCTACGCTCCGCTATAGGATAAACAGACGAGTACTAAAGCTCGAGTCACGTTATATAGCTTATCGATTAATAGTTACTAAAAAGGAGGTAGTTATTCGATATATATTAGACCTAGATACGCGAGGATTCGCGCCCTAACACACTAGTATTAAAGATATAGCTAATTTATTACTCGCGGGACGCGATAGAGGACGCGTCGGTAAGTACTAGGGCGAGAAGTTTATTAAGCAATAACTTAAACTTAAGACGCGTTTTAATCGTATATATAACTTTTAGAGAGCCCTTTACGAAGATCTAGAGCTTATTCGCGCGTAGTTTAAGCTTATATATAATATAAAGGCGAAGTACAGTATCTACGACTATGACTTCTATAACTTTAATAAGACCGGCTTTATAATAGGCGTTATCTACGTATCTATAGTAATAATACGCGCCGATCGATATAAAAAAAGTAAGGTAGTTTAGCCTAGTAATCGGGAATAGGCGATAGTAATTAAGTATATTAATAGCGAAGGGTAGTGCCTCCCGTTATTTCCTATTATTTAAGGCGCGTACTACCTCGCTAACTAGTATATAGAGGGCGGCCTCTTACTCGACTAAGCTATTAAACTAACTTCTAATAGGTAGATAGATAATAAGACCGGCCTCGAATAAATTAAATATTTCGAAAAGTATATAAAATCTTATATAAAGGGTATATATCGGATAATTATACTCGATAGGTATAAGAGCTATTAGTCGGTCTAGTTTAAAGCTTTCTATAAAGAGAATAATATTATTATTATTAGCCTACCTACTCACTCGTCTTATCTAACCTAGCCACTCGATATTAAGTGTTTTAGTGCCTTAAAGAAAGCATACGGTCAAGAAATCGAGCACTTTATTAGAGCGTATATTAACAATATTACTAAGGTCGAGTTCTTCCTCGCCTTTAAAGCCGCCTACTTTACCGCTATAATAGAGAGTAATAATAAAGGAGGTTTTAGAGGTATAAGCCTAGTACCTTTTAACCCTAAAGCTATAATATCTAAGCTAGATATTAAGTTACGGACGCTAACACTAACTAGTCCCCTTTCCGTAGCTACCGATCCTTAGTGCTCCTAGACGCCACAGAACCTAATAGAGGCAGTCTCGCAATCCGAATATATTAAAAATCGGATTACCCGTCACTAAGGAAGCTCGCTAATACTGATTCTTATTACTATCGACTAGCTTACGAAAGGGATGTAAGTATTAGCGTACTCGGTCACCCTTATAACGGCTAAGATACGTATATTATAGAAGGTAAATAAGGCACTTAGTAAGCGCCGGAGGGCTAAAAAAACACGTATATGTCTTAGAGGATTACTTACTATAGGAGATATATATAATATACTAGCCTAGAAGGAAGTATAGGAATAGGTAGAGCGTGAAACGCGTGAGAATAATAGTCGGCGGACTAGGACAGAGAGGGCTCTACGGCGTTATAGTAAGTATAGAAAGCCTAGGTATAATACGCGCACGTGCTAGGAAGATACGGAAGTGTCTGATATATATAAGTCTGAATAGTTTCGGTGTTTTATAGTTATTATAGTGGTGTAATTGATATTCTTTATCCTATGGTCGTGGAAAAGTGCGTCGCTCAGGGGTGTGCGTCGCTTAGTGGTGGACCACGTTATAAGTAATATTTAGAATTAATTTAGACTTATTTACTAACTTATACTTAGCTAATTATCGAAATATTAAAACCGCCCGATCTATCGACTTCGTTAATAGCACGAATACTTATCTCGGCGAGCCCCGATTATATAGTAGAAATAGATAATATTCCTAGTTATACTATCTTAGTTAAGAGCTTACTATATATACCTTGAATTCCTGAGTTCCTAAATTCGTCGAACTATAGCTTTAGATATATAATTCTATATACTAAACTTAAATAAGTATAGACTAAAAAGCCTCAGACTAAGGTAAGTAAGCTTAAACTAGTTATAAACTAGTTTAGAACTAATTCTCTTAGGTATAATATTACGCTCGGCGCTTAGTCCGGCCCTAGCGTAGCTCTACTACTCTCTTTAATAGTATTCTATGCATACGTTATATATACGCTTGCACTAGCGTAAAATATTATTCGAAAGTCCGCGGCTTATAGGACTATATAGAAGTTAGCGAAGAATTGATTTCTCGCGTAAGATCGCTACGAGAAGACCTTATTAATAGTATTCGACGTAAGGTAATAAAGTAAGTTTATTTATAATTTAACCTTAAACTATTTCTAAATTTATAAAGCTTTATACGAGTAATTTTATAGAGTTTCTCTAATAAAAGATCTTACGATAATTTTTCGGATCGGTGCTACCTAGTATTTTTATCCGTAGGCTATAGAGTATATACGATTAATTTAATATGATTTTTCTAACATATATAGAATCTTCTTATTTTACCTTAGCGATTTATTTAATATAGTTAGTATAGTACTCGTGGAGAAACTCACGTATTTAAACTTATATTATTCAGGTACCGGGATCTTTATAATTTAATCGAGAGGATTATTTATAATACCCACGAGAATAATAACGAAGAAGAAGAGGAGGAATACTATTACTCTAATAAAAATTCTATTAAAGCGAAATTTTACTATAAATAATTAAACCGATTCCGAACTAGTTTACTAATAATTCTAGCTATTAACTACTTATATAGTAGGCGAGAAATTGTCTCTATTGACTATAATATTAAATTCTATTACTTTACTCCTATAAAAGGATACTCGAGTATAGATTTTATTATTATAGTCTTAACCGGTACTTATTATCACCCGCCACTAATACTATCTAAGACGCCTAATTATACTATTTAATAACTATAGTCACTAATCTATTCGATATCTCTTAATCGGCCTGCCTTAAGTAAGTTAAGTATAATAATAATAATAAATTATACGCCCTTACGGGTGCCTCTTGCTAGCTAGCCAGGCTATCTAGGCTAAATAATCCTAAGGAAAAATTAAGTAAAAACCTTAGTGCAGTCCTCCTCTATCTACTATAGTAAAATACGAAATAAAATGCTGGCTTCTATAGTGCCAGTCCTATGCTAGGGCCGATTCCGCCCGCGTATCTATCGTAATCCTGGGTATATGCTGTGTTTTACCGGAATTCAACCGTCGTGGTGGGGTTCCGGGAGGATCCGGCCCGGATTCTGGCTGAG